ATTTAGTGAATTTTGGAGGAGCTTGAATTTCAGAATTTGTGTGAATATAGGCTAACATGTCTTAGGCTACAGCTACAGTTTTACAGTACAGACATGAATCTTCCTGACTGGATGTCATGAAAGTGAAGCTACCTCTCTTTATGAAACCTGAAGAGAGCGATATCATTTGCAGTCTAGAGCACTTAAAACTCCACTCTTGTTAAATCATCAAGCTCGTCAGGCTAGAAAGAACTCCAAAGCTGCAGTTGAATTTGTGAACTGTTTCTATGGCCGTCCATCCATCCATCCATCCAAATCCACATCCACCCTGTAGTTTGGTGATGGCTTCAGTCCATGTCATCCCAATACACAGAATGGAGAGGATCGACTGAATGAGCTACTCACTGCCTAGAGATGCAATCAACTCCTCTTCTAACTTGGAGCATGACTGCCATGGTAAATATGATGGAAGAAGCAGAGATGAGTTCTGGGTGAGCCCCGAATGAATGAGTGCATGTTGGTGAGGCAGATAAAGACATGGCGTCGGAGGGCTTGCATAAATGACTTCGTAATTTGGCTAAGATACAATGCGCGTAACCACGCCATGAAAACATCTTGGAGTGTGTGTGCGCATGTGATGGTGGAGTCCAAGTCGTTTTTTTTATTCCTGATCATTCTGCTCACTCCTCAGTCTTTCTGTCCTCGCAAATCCAATTCCACTCTGCCACTGCCAATTTCAGGTGCTCCCCCTCTAGAATGCAGCACCAGCCAATTTCAATAGAAAAAACTGAAATTGGCAATTCACCCTCCTGTATTGATCCATTCACTTTAAACCTAGGCACTCAACATTGAGAGCTGCCAAAGTTTATATACGTGTGTTCATGCGTCTGCCTTTGCCTTGCCACCGTTCCAGAGAGTCAGCATCTGGATTGCATATCTGACTAAATCAAGATTTTACATAACTTCTATTGGCTTTGAGGAGGCTACCACTCGACAGCTTCACCATTAACTACTAAAAAAGGCTTCTTTATTGGTAATGTTTAGAGGCAGAGCACATGTACTGCTATGGATCTTCTTTCATGCATTTGATTACTTTTCATGAAACTCAATAAAACATTCTCAAGGTCTCGATATAATAAATGTTCTTACTGATTTTTATACAGCATTGGCCCTCTGCCTACGTGTCTCTAGACTGAATTATTATCTCCAGTTATAAATGCCACTCCTATTTATAATTGACCATATGAGCAGGATATAAATGCTCACTTTGGTAGATTACTGTTGCAATCCACACTCTTGGTTTAATGCTTTAATGCTTGGTGATTCTAGTTGGAAAATTCCGCCCATCTGTTGAGTCTTGTGCCTGAAGAAATTATCTGAATAACCACCTATATTTTTGTCCCATTGTTACCTGGGACACTAGTTACCTCTCCCAGGTGTACCCAGCCTCTCAACCTTGTCAGTTGGGATTCGCTGTAACCCCCCACAACTCTTAAAGGGTGAGTGGTATAGAGGATGGATGGATGAATGAATAGAGGGATAGCTGTTATACAGGACTACATGCTGAATGTCAACATGTATGCTAAACTAGATCTGGACCCAGGATCTGAAAGAGCCTTTGATTGATGTCTATGCTGGCAAACAATGTTTTGCACATTTCAAATGCACCTTTTAGTGTAATTAGCACAGATTAGCCTGAAGGGATAACTTGTATATGATATTACATGAATGTTGCCACTGTGCTCAATGTCTGATTCTAGTCTGTTTAATAAATTGTTGATTTATAGTCAAAATGAACAGAAAGGAATAAATTGTTGACAACTCATTTTGAGCAACTAGATCTGATTCAGGTGACACCTCCAACCATTCTGTTAGATGATAGGTGCGGTTGTTCAGAGACCTTGTAGCAATCTTGGGCATTGATGATCCCAGGCACCAAAACAGCCGTGTGCTGAGTCCCTTATAGTCTTTGAAACCACCTTGAAGGAGTCTGCTGTTTATCACGAACACATTTGCTTAGCAAAACAAGATGTCAGTGAAACAATTACCACATCTTTCTGTACGGTGCAGTACCTTCACATGAAACCATTCCCCTGTGAGTCTTTCTCACAGAATCAGAAGTTGTTGCCTATAAATGTCGGTCCGCCCCCTTAACAAGCATCTATTTTCTGTTAGTAGCCTAATGTGGGGGATGTAATTACAGTTCATGCAAACATGTTACTCAACAATCAAGACAGCCCCACCGCTAATTGACCTGGTGTTCTGGGCTTTTGCATGTGAAAATGAAAGCCTGTTAGTGTTGTTTAGAGCTGGTAGAAGACTGTGGGGGAAGAAATTCCAGCTAGAAACCTTTCAAAACACAATATCTCCACGGTTCTAATGATTGTTTGTTTTTATACTGCATTGCTCACTGCCTCTGTTCTCAGTATTCAAACACAAAACATTTTATTTGTATCTCTCCATCACTCTTTAAGAAGCGAAGCTCTTTATTTAGCTGAGTAAATGGTCGGAGTCATACCGTTATCCTTCACTGTCATTTAGTGTGAAAACCTGCCTTTTCCACAGTGGTGAATATGTCATTTTAGGTTAACCTCTATATTTTTAAAGTTATTAACCGACACTCTAGGTGAGCGTCTCCACAAGCACATTCACATGCACACACGCTCTCTGCACCATGAGCCAGAATGCATGGCAGCTGAAAGAAAATACATTTTACACAAGTGGATTCTGATGATGATGTTTCTTCAGTGCCAGTTGCTTCTGCTTCTTCCAAGGTTGTGAATGAATGCTTCCAAAAGGCAGAAGTTTGAAGATGAGAAAAAAAAAAAACAGTTCACTTTTGGTCATTGAGATTTCAAAGCTCTTGTTAAACTCAAAATCTAATCCAGGGGCTGGTCTATATAACAGCATAATAAAAATGTGATTAGGGTGCTAATTTGTACTTTTATTGGTATGTGATTCCCACTGAATCGCGTCGGTCTCCCACTGCATCAACATTTACCCATTCTAGCTTATGTTGTCATATGGCCTAGGATGGTAGATGGATAATTCCTGGTGCAGTCAAGCTGTTGCCACAGTATTAAGTTTAGTGGTGGAAAAATTATTATCTTTGCCTTCTGCCTCACAAACATCAAGCTCAAGAAACGGCAACATAACACTCTGTTGATATAGTCATTCAATAGGCAACAAAGCCATCAAGCAATTTTGCTGTGGTGTTGCGGTCTGAGATACCAATGGCTGCACAGGCCATAATATGCAGGTGGCCTATCTAAGTGTTCCCATTGTGCAGCTTTCCCCATAAGCATGGCACAGATGTTGCGTCACTATGGGGGAAGGAGGGCATGAATGATAGGAGAATGCATATGCACAACTTTAACCACACACACACACATCACACACACATCACACACACACACACACACACACACACACACACACACACACATCACACACATCACACACACATCACACACACACA